ACAATATCTTAAACAAATTTAACATTCATAAAAGATAAATACTGCTTATTACCTGATGACACCTGTAGCTTCAACCTTAACAAATAAAATAACTTTTTTCTCAATCTTCAAATTAAAATAATTACTCTCATAAAAACAAACATAAGCTGCATATTTTCATCCCTCCTTCACAGTGTGCTGATTTAAAGTTGGAAATCATCTTCTCTTGTTAGCATCTCTCTCATTTCACACATCTTACCCTGTGCTTCAGTTTCAGCTGACAACATCATGACATTAAGCTAGGAGCGGAGGGAACGACATAAACGGAAACATTTATACGCTAAAAAATTAAATAAGAAATAATTACTATTTCTTTACCTGCACGTGGAAGTTTAAAACAGGTGCCAGGCAGAAGAAGTCCACATCTTTCCTCCTGTTATTCCTCATGTTGTTGTTTCTCCTTCCATGGATGGTGAACAAAGTACTGTACATCAGAAAAATGAACAGAGTTTCTCTGGACAGGGCTGTAGCGGGGATCACGTGACTGAAATGATCCAATAGCAACACAACACAGGTATATATCTGAGTAGATGTTCAGGCACGGCAGCCAAACCCATCTGTTCTCTGATTGGATGTTAAATCTATGATTGACAAGACATTGACCAATCAGCTGGAGGCAGAAAAACTTGGTCAGAATTCGTACTTGTAAAGTCAAACTCTCATGTAAGTTTTGAACTTGAGCAGAGAGATTTATATGTAGTTTTTTACTTTGTGCCTGTAAACAGACCTTAACAAAAAGACTGTAACTTGTGTAAATATTTTTACAGATACAACTCTATTTTACACACACACATTCCTATTTACATATCCAAATGTTACAAATCTTAATCTACAAGTACAAAGTCTGATTTACGAGTACAAAATACTTAAGACTAATATTTGTTCCCATACACTTTGTACCCAGTATTTATGGAGGTGAAATGACAATAAATCTCTCTTGACTCTTGACGTATTTCAGCCCAGTCAGAGTCAAACATTCCTGTTGATGATAATAAAAGACAGAAATCAKAATTTCAGATATGATTATACTTTATGATGCAACGCTGTCACTCACTGTGCTGAAGTCCTGGTCCAGATCCTCTGATCCAGTCCTCAGGAGGTCAGGTTAAACATCTGCAGTCATGGAGGAACAGTTGGTCCAACGTTACCCATCAGAACCAGAACCACTGCAGAACTACAGTTGGACAGGCTGAAGAACTGTCCTCATTTTACATTATTAAAAACAAACAACATGTTTCCATCCAAGAACAACAAATAAACAGTTCAACAGTTTAAACTGTTTTCTGCACCTGTTCAACCTTTAATGAGTCCTCCACAGGAGGAAGAGGATGATGAAGAGGATGATGAAGAGGATGATGAAGAGGATGATGAAGAGGATGATGAAGAGGATGATGAAGAGGATGAATGTAATGAAGACGATGTGCCTGAAAATAAAGGTGACCACCAAAGGTGCAGTAACAGTTTTTGCCAGCAGATGGTGCTGTTTGACAGACAGATGATTAAAACAAAACTCCACCTCCTGAGATCAAATCTGAGGNATCCAATCAGAGAACAGATGGGTTTGGCTGTCGTGCCTGCCCATCTACTCAGATATATACCTGTGTTGTGTTGCTAATGGATCATTTCAGTCACGTGACCCCAGGTAAACTGTTCATTTTTCTGATGTACAGTACTTTGTTCACCATCCATGGAAGGAGAAACAACAATATGAGGAATAACAGGAGGAATGGTGTGGACTTCTTCTGCCTGGTACCTGTTTTAAACTTCTCTGCACGTGGCAGCGTGCACAGCTACAGTGCAGTTCTATTTCGTGTAAGCTCCGCCCTCTAAGGCTATCGCAGATGGGTACCCCACGCGCGCGCTCGCGCATTCTGAAGAGCCGATAGTCCACGCCCACTTACTGTGGGCCTCACCTTGGTCCGTATAAAAGGGGAGGACGGACCTGAGTTCAGCTCCCCATTTTTCTTCAGCTTCGGCATTCTGCATGCACCATAGATGACGCCCATACATGTAAGTGCTATGATTCTATTATATTGACATGGAATTCGTGTCCGGCGCCACCGAGCTATGATCCGCTTAGCCGTCCTTCCGGGCTGCTCGGGGATCGGTTTTTCCCCGGCACAACCCGTTTTTCACTCCGGTCTCCTTCCTCGGAAGAAGGTTGATCGTGGTTTAGCTAGCATATATTTTCCCGCGGGTGTCCCCGCGGTGCGGTATTATGCCAAGCTATGGCGCCGGACACCCTCGTGCCTCCACGGAGTCCCCGTTTTTCATAGCCGCTACTAGCTCACTCGTTACACGGATGTGTAGCTAGTAGTTAAGGCCTTCAGACATCGACGTTTCCAGCCAGGACTGGACTGGAAGCTTTCCCAGATATTTCGGACCATGCGCTTCTCATCTCGGCATGGTCTGGCTATCTTCTCCGGGGACGGAGGTCCAGGCTAGCGTTTTTTCCCACCAGAGATCACGGCGGCAAACTAGCTAAGCCGGTTAGCCACCTAGCTAAGCAGCGCGCTAGTCTCAGCCTTTTTTGCGCTGAACTGCATCCCGTTTTTTCAGCCGAGAAACTGGAGTCAGGATGCTGCCGCTTGGTTTTAGCTTCTAGCCACGGACGTGCTATGTAGCTTGACCAGGGCAGTTGCAGACTGCTGCTAGCTGGTTTGTAACACACGATGTGTTGGCTGCTATTGGCTCGCTCGCAACATGGAGGTGTTAGCTAGCTGGGTAAAGGCATTCTGTGGTCGGTGCTCCCAGCCAGGACTGGACTGGGAGCTCATCCAGACCACTTAGCCAAGACGGGTTTTGCCCCTAGCATGGAGATGCTAGCTACAATGCTAGGAGTTGCTTACTCCAAGCTGAAAGCTCTGGTCTCGTTCCACGCGGATGTGACAAAGTGGAGGGGGTGACCGTCTTCGGCTCTTGCCSGTCCCAGTACTGGAATCTTCATCCTCCATGGTCTTCGTCACTGAGGCAGAGCGGTCTGCCGGATGGTGACCTTTTTTCCTCTCACAAGTGGTAGACCAGCAGCTTGGCAGCTGTGCCGACCGGTCCCGTCATCGTACGGCACAGTCGGGTGCTGCAACTAACAGCATCACTACTCAGGCCGCCAACTTAAAAAGACACGACAGGACCACAGCACAGAGGCCAGCACGAGTTTGTATCTCTGCGCTGTTTTTAGGCCGGGTGTACGTCCTGCATCATGTTTTGGAAGCAGGAGAAA